TGTACTGCTTGATCAATAAATAATAGCCTGTGGTGGGTTGATTGGGACTTTGACTTCTGTGTGGGACAACAGAGTGTTAGGAGGGAGCTGGTGTCAGCAATCTTCATCCCCTCCCCCACAATTGTGGAATCTCCCACCTTGATTCCAGCTTCACTCCTAGGAGAGGCCAGGCCAGGGTTACCAGAGAGGGATGGCAAAGCAGCCCTGAAGGCCCATAGAGACACTGACTCACAAAGTCCATCTCCCCCTGGAATCTCTGAGTCTCAGGTTCACATCCCGTGATATCCTGGGACACTGGTCTCACCCTCAGCAGATGACCCTGGTTAGGTCCACGAACACTTGTCAACAGCAGAGTTGTGGGTAGGAAAGGGAGGTGTCACCTGCCTCTTCGTTCCTGGCAAGCACTTAGGGGTAGTCAGGCATGTTGCAGATGGGTACTGAGGGTAAACACCACCCCCAACAAGCACTCAGCAAGTGGGGGTCACTGATCCCAAAGAAAGCATCAGTACCTGGATATTTTGACTAGTCACCAAAGGCCATGCCCAGTTAGTAAGGGACTGGGTTGGGGTGTAAGCTCAAATCTGCACAGCCCCAAAGCACACAGGTTTGGCATGAGACAGAGTATGGTCTGCCTAGATTCGTGGCCCCACTGCACCTCCCAGCTTCCTCCATCCTTCTGGGCTTCATTCTTCACAAAAGAACTATCTAGTAAAGAAATAGTACTTACCTCTGCATATGTGAGCCAAAGTCAATCAGGCTGGTGATGGCACCCAGCGGGTCATGAGTGCTCAGGGAGGAAGCTCACGGCCCCTGACCCCTGTCCACTCCACCCAACCCCAGCCATCTCTTCCTTCACTTTCTTCCTCCACAGCTGGTACCTGACAGGCAGCTGTGCCTACCCCCCCAACCCCCAATCTGGCTCCCACTCCTTCTTTCCCCTCTCTGTTGAAATGTCACCTGCTCAGGCAGGCCTTTCCCGAGTCCCCTTTTGAAAATGGCAGCCTCCCCCCCCACACACTCTGCAGACTCCCACCGCACTTTCGCATATAGCCGACTGCCTGCGTTTCACTGCTTTTGCATAATGCTACTCCTGAGGGAACAGGGCTGATTTTTTTTTTTTTTTTTTTTTTTTTTTTTTTTTTTTTTTTTTTTTTTAAAAAAAAAAAAATTAGCTAGATCCCCAGTGATTCTCAACAGCATGCCTGCTCTCTTGCTCCCCAGGGAACATCAGGCACTGTCTGAGGATAGTCAGGTGTGTAGGTAGGTGGGCACTACTTGTATCTAGTGGGTGGGAACATGCTGCAGTGCACAGACCCAGCCTTTTAGTCACCAAGAAAACCTGACCCCAGAAGCCAAGGACACCACTATCACTGAGCTCAGTGGGTGGCGTGTATATTGCAGGAGCTCAGTAAATGCTCCTCAGAGAACAACAAAGGTCTATTGTTGCCATCGCCATTATTTAACAACAGAGTTAATAACAGCCATCCATCCCTTGGGCTGGAGCTGTAGCTCAGTTGGTAAATGCTTGCCTAGCATACATGAGATACTGGGTTTGATCCCCACCACGGCATAAACCAAGCATGGTGGTGCATTCCTGTAATCCCAGCACTTGAGACATGGAGACAGGATGAGAAGTTCGAGGTCATCTTTAGCTACATAGTTAGTTTGAGGCTAGCCTGAGCTACATGAGACCTGGGATATGTAAAATACAAGAAAAAAAAATCCCAGAAAACTACAAGTATAAAAAAGGGGGGAGGGTGTGATTTATAGAACATACTGGCCACATATTGGTGGCCCATGGTGTAGTGTCAACTTTCTGATCAGGGCTCTGCCCTCTAGAGCTCCTAGAATGGGCTGCACCACCACAAGCCAAGATTGGTCCATAATGACAGGTGATAGATAATGTCCAGGACTCAAGTGATGCTCACCCACCTCTTCCCTCAGCAGGGACCTCTGATCTCTCAGCATGCCCCACATTGGAACACTCAAACCATTCAGGATAACCTCAGTGTGGTCTCTGCACCTCCAGTTGCTCAACCCCAGGGTCACCTGTGCCTGAATGAGCTATGCTGCTGAACTCTGCTGTCTCTGCTTCTCTCCAGGAAGGTGATACAGGGGCGGGGTCTGGCTCTGGAAGGCTCACCCCTGTTGAAACCTCCCCCAGGCTCAGCATAGCCTGGGGTCTGGGAACACTTTCTCATTCAGCTGACCTAACAAACTGCCACAGGCAATTTAAACAGTCAGAGTGACAGGCCTAGGCTCCAGATGCAAAGAACGTGTCCTTGGGGAAGGAGGAGGGGTTGGGGCATCCTGCCAAGGGAAGGGACATGCTGAGGGGTGATGCTTTGCTATGGGGTTTCCTTCACCTCCCACTGGGCCCTGCAGCTCACTACTAGTCAGCACCACCTACCACCTGCTTCCTCAGCAGGCGCCCACCTCCCAGTCCCACGGAGAATTCCCAGTGAGCTTTGCCACTTCTCGCCGGCCACCTGCAAGCCCATCCCCCAATCTCTCCTGCTTCCAGGCTGCTGAGCCTAAATCTGCAGAACCTAAGGTTGGCAAAGTTTTCTCTGACCTACACTCCTTCCCCTCTGCCCTTCTGTCCTCTCCCTCTTTTCTTAAAGGTTTTCTAAGTTTCAAAAAAGCCATTTCTGCTAAGGTTTAGTTGCTGACATAACAGGTACAGGGCCAAAGGGCTGCATGAATCTCTCCTGGTGGAATATTAGGCATCAGACATCTAGGTTTTTGGGGGGGAGGTGGACAATGTTTGGCAGGCAGGGGTTTTCTTGGTTCCCCTAATACTTGTAGTTATTTCGAATTCTGCCAGGGGGTAAGACTGGCCTCAAACTCAGGATGGGATGACAGGTACATGTAGAAGGACCACCTGGCACTGAGCCAGGAGTCTTCACCCAATAGACCAGAAGCCTGGGGAAGCAGTGCTAGCTCCCCCTAGAGGCAGGGTTCAGTGTTTACCGGTCCTTCATTTCCACTCTCTGGGAATCCCAGCTCAACCTGAACTCATGCTACCAAACTCACACCCTTCTCCAAGGACTCATGGGACATCCTCATTGTGTGGTCACTTTCTTCACATCCTGTGTCTTGAGCCACAACTACCAGCCCTGGACATTTCCATGAATGGATACTGTCATCTGTGACTTTACTTTGTCCTCACAACACTCCGACAGCTTAGTTTTATGAGCCTCCAAGAGGTTCCATAACTTGGTCAGTGTCACTGTCACAGAATAAGTAACAGAGTTTGGAGTCCATGTTTTCTATCACAACCTAAGGCTAGCCTCTTTCAGCCAAGTGCACCATGTTCCAAAGCCCCCTCTCGGGTCATGAGAACCTGATGCCCCCATCCTGGGAATGGTTGGGCTGTACAAGCCTGCCATGGGCCAGTGAGGTGAAGGCTGGTGTGACACAGCAAGGTGCTGGGGTCCTTACATGGTCATCAACAGCTCACACACAGCAGGGCTACCTCTCCTCCCCACGTCCAGCTGAGATACCACAGCCCTTAACACACACAGCCCTTGTTGCCTCAATCCTTCCCTTCCCTGTTTGCAAGAAGATAGGTGTTTGGGGTGGGAATATGCCAAGTCCCAACACACAGCTCACCATTTTTAGGCACCCTGAGACCCAGCCTTAGGGGGTGCTAGGACCCAACCTCAGAGCACTAAGTTAGCCCAGAAGTGAGGCAAAACTAGGGTTTCTTAAGGAGGCAGGAACCTGGCACTGAAAGGCTGACTCTGGGGCTGCAAAGAGGAGCAATGGACCTGGCACCAATATGCCCGTAACCCTGAGATGCCCCCAAACAAGGACATTAGATACACCCTCACCACCAGGACAAGCCAGGTGTGTCATCCATCAAGTCCAGTGATTTGTGGAGAAAAGGGTTTGAGATGGCCTGGAGGGGTCCTCATCTTCTTTTCCCCGGGATGGAGGGTGAAGCAGGAGGCAGCACTGGTGGCAGCTGGAGTATGATGGAGGGCAAACCCAGAAAAGTTCCCCCTTGTAGCCCTGTTCCAGATTCTCCTGTAGTCTCTGGTACTGATAATCCGGGGCAAAGTGGGTGAATTCCTTCCCTTTTCTGAACAGCTTCCTCCTCCGGTTAAAAGGGGCCATCAGCTGTGGGCTGTTAGGGTCCCATGAACCCACATGGTTAGGCTCAGGAGACAGAATACCAGCCTCTTAGCTTAGCCAGACACTGGAATGGCTTTCAAAGCTCTTTCAGTCTCAGGAGGGGGATAATGTGTCACTTTAAAATTGTTAACAGGCTGCACCTTTACCAATTACCAAAATAGGATAGAGGGAAAGAGATCAAGTAAATAAAAGGGGTGCTTTGGAGTGGAGGAGAAATTTTGGGGGTGCTCTCTAGGGTTGATATCTCACAAGAAGCATGCAGAGGGGTCACCATCTTCCACTGTTAGTCTTGCTCAGCTTTGGGGCTCCTGGCAAAGCCCCTTCCTTCTGCTAATCCCTCCCCAGCATCCTCCTGTGGCCTAGGGCAGGGGAATGAGTTCGGGGGCAGGCAGATGTCCTAGGGTAGGATGGAGAAGTGACTCTCAGGTAGATACAACCTGCTGGGAAGTGAATCCACCTACTGACTATGGCAAGTGGGGAGTTCGGTCCGCAGAGACCCACAGCCCAGCTCAACAGGTGGTGGTGGGCTTTTCCCCGCTGGCATTTTTCTGTGTCTTTTCTGCCAGTCTCAGGCAAGTCTGTCGTGGGAAGTCCGTTTGTGGCTTTGGAGTGGGAGAACTGCAGGGAAGCCTCTGCAAAGAGGGGGCGTCATCGCCCCCAACCCCAGCGTAATCCTACACACACACACACACACACACACACACACACACACGCATACACACGGTGCGCCCCACCCTGCCACTCCACTCCAGAACGAGGCCAGCCGGGCTCAGTGGCCGCAGCACCGCGGGAGATGTCGCCTCCCCTGACCGCCCCCCAAGAAGGAAGAGCTGGTCCCTCCTGCTCATCCCCGCTCTCACCTCGCGGCCGTGGTTCAGGTCTCGCGTGGGCGGGGGGATGTCCTCTGGCGCGGGCAGCGGGAGGAACCGAGCTGGCTGCCCGGCGCCCGCCCCGTCGCGTCCGGTCCCCCGGAGCTGCTCTGCGCCAGTGGTGGTGGATGTGGCAGCTGCTGGCGGAGCCGGGACTGGGGGAGGGCGGGACCCAGGGCGGGGCCTGGGGCGGGGCCTACCCTCCCCTACGCTCCCAGCTCCGGGTGGGCTTAGGAACAGAAGAAGGCTGCCTTCCACCTGGGAAGAGAGCACTTGGGATGGGAAGCACCCTCGTGGGGTTTGCAGGTGAAGGGTTGAGGGGCTGGCGTGGGAGAGGGGAGGCTTTCTGGGCTGAGAACACCTGCCTCGAGTCAGATTTACCTTCCCGTGCCAGCTGCTGCGACTGAAGATGAAGAGAACACCCCAGCACTAGCCAGTTATTTATTGAGCCCTCACTGAGCCACTAGTGAAAGTGCTTCCCAGGTCTCAAGACACTTACCCCTCACAGCAGTCCCATTTCAGAGATGCCAGCGCTGAGGCACAGAGCCATGAGTATGCCTGAGGACAAGTCAGCAGAGCCAGGTTGGCACTGCCTGGCTCTGGACAGCATTAAATATTCATTTTTTTCATCTCTAAACTAGAAGATGGAAATATATGCCATGCACGCGATGCCTAGCACTTTTAAACTTAATTTTACAGCTTATTGGGACCCTGGACACGCAATTAAGTTCATAAATATCTATTAAACAATCATACATTTGAAACCTGCAGCTGGAGCCTGGGGTGGTGGTGGTGGTGCTGGTGCTGGTGGTGCTGGTGGCGTTTGAGGTTGCTGTCCAGACAGGTCAGCAGGAAGTACATAAGGGTTCACTTTTCCTGGCCAGAGTACCTGGAATGGCACCTGATACTTTTGTGCACATGTTGGGAAGGGCGCCCTGCAAGAATGGAGGCTTGGCCAGTCAGACCACAGGGAGCTTCCAGCAGATCTGCCAACTCCTCCCAGCAGTGAAGCAGGCAAGATGGAAGTAAGTGTGGGTGTTTGTTATGTGTGAGTTCTTGTGTGTGTGCATGTGACAGAGAGAGGTCAATCTCAAGTGTCTTTCCTCAGGAGCTGTCTCCCTTGTTTTGTTTGTTTTTGAGACAGGGTCTCTCACAGAAACCCAAGGCTCTCTGATTAGGATGAGCTGACTGGCCAGCAAGCCCCAGGGATCTTCTTGTTTCTTCCTCCCCAGTATGGGGATATAGGTGTGTGCCACCACGAGGGACATTTTGCAAGGGTTCTGGGGATTGAACTCAGGTCCTCATGCCTACAGGCAAGCACTTTACCAACATAGCTGCCTTCCCAGCCTGAGCACGTATGGGCATGGAGAGTCAGCCTATACACAAAAGTCAGTTGCCAAATACTGAGACATCAGAATCAAACATATTTGCTCCAAACTATAAGGCAACAGCTGCACAGAAGTACCTGTGTGACTAAGGTCTCCTGACCAAGACATCAAGATGGACATTGCCACATATGAATTGGATCACATGCAACCAGAATAACTGAAGGGTTTTGGGAAGGGTATACCATGTTATTGTTCACAGTACTTTAGACCTAGAATACACCCAACTTTGTCTTTCTATTCCCACCTGCTCCCCAAGTCATGCCCCACCCCCAGTTCCCTGATGGGAAGGTCTCACACCACTCACAAATATCCACATCTCTCAACTGTGTTGGGCAGCCCCTCATCTCAAATTTCCAACCCCATCACTCCCCTGTTCTTCCAAACATGCTCATTTCCTGTTGTCTGGTTTGTCCTTCTCTCCACTTGGAGAACTCTTATATTGGAGAACATACCTCAGGACTTTATTCAATTTGCTTCCTATGGCCTAAGAATTAATTTCTCCATCCTCCTCAGGACCCAGGAGTGACTCATCCAGCAATGACCAGTGTAGCAATGACAAATTGCCTGGTGGTCTCCTTGACTTGACTGTGAGCTTAGGCAGCAGACCAGACACATGGCAGGTACAAGGGAGGTACCTTGCCTATGCTGTGAAAAGATGAACAAGAGCCCACAGCCAGGACAATTTTTTTTCCCCAAAGGTTGTGGTTAATATTCCCAGGGTCAACTGGAAAGCTGGGAACCATTATCTGACAGGGTTGCCTCTTCCAGGTGGCAGCCACGACCACAAGCACCTGAAGAGTATGTGTGTAGAAGGAAAAGCAATCTGACTGCTTGAGATGGGAATGAGGCAAGGGGTGCTGAGGAGGTGGGTGTCCTCTCTCACATGTCGATGGAGGAATGCTAGAATGTCCCTGTGCTCTCTAGACAGATCCCTCTTGACCTGTGTGACACTGTTCCCTGGGCCATCTCACAATGCCCGTGTGAATCAATGCACTTTAGGACACTCTCTTTACAAAAAGCAATGTATTTCTAGGGGTGCTCGTGGCCTCATCCCCAGTCCTTCTGCCTGAGGCAGTACAACTCAAGATGTAAGTGGTTAAGAGAGAAAGGATATGGGTTTATTGGAATGGGGTCTTCAGCCTGGTTCTGACCCTATTTGGCTGTATGACCTCAAGAAATATTCTTAACCTCTTGAGCTTTATTCCTCTTTAGCTAGGGCTGGTTCTTGGGGGTATAACCCTGGCAGCTGCATAGCCCTCTTTTAGCGAGGCTCTGTGTTCAGTTTATTTGCTGATAAGCTTTTGCTTGCACTATTTAATCATTTGAGTGAAGAGGTTCTGCTAGTTTTTGTACCACCCCCTTCACCATTGTATAGTCAGCGGTAGTGAGAGCCCTGAGCTCCCTGGGTGACTGGATGCTTCTGAGACCTTGTGAAAGAGTGTGACACCTGACATGCTCTACACAGAAGTGAATTTCAGGTCCTGGAATCTGGTCCTGAAGGATGAATAGTTCACCAGTGAGTCTGCAGGCTAAGAAGGGAGGGAGCTTGGAGCACAGGGACTGGCAAACATGACAGTAGCTGGATCCAGGGGAGTGTAGACCTAAAAGACACATCTGTAGACACAGGTAGGGGCTATGTGAAAGCTCTCCTGATTCTTTATGGACTTTTGTGGAGTTTTGCTCTCAGGCTGGGAAGCCCCTGAATAGGGGTCAGGAAAGGAGAGGAAGGAAGGCATTGGACTCTAAGCTGGGCCCCATCCCTAGCCACAGCTCTGCAGGGTTTGCTGCAGATGACAGGCCCTGGATGGCAGGGGCAGGGAACACTGCTCAGAGGTTGCCAATACAGTGGACTGGAAACGCTCCTGTCGACATGATGGGAAAATGCTGTAGGTATAAAAGCCAGCAGCTGTGCTTGGGGACCTGGGGACTCCAGGCCTGATGAATAATGGAGCACAAGTTTCTCCCTGGCTCTCTTTTTCGATCCTTTCAATAATTCATGCATTCCCTGTTGGGCGAAGGCTTGCACGAAACACCAGCTTTCTCTGAATACACAGCTGAGCCGGGCAAGTCTGAGGCTTCACGCGTTAGGTCTTAATTAGGAACACTCCTCCACACATGTGCGTTAGCTTCGCAGCGTGACCCCTGCATTTGTGTGGAGGGAAATGCCCAGTGATGCCAGGAGGGGACAAGGTCTTCCTGTCAGCTTCTTCCTGACCCCAGGGAGGGTGGTGATGGGTGTCACTTTCAGGTGGCTGCTTTGCCAGCCTTTTCCCTCTGCCTTTGGGATCTTGGAGACAGGTGACATGATGTCCTCTGCCACCTGAATTCCTGTATGATGATGAGCAGTAGAAGTTTCTGGATGACCTCTGATAAGCAAGAGAAAGAAAACTGGTTGTTACTTTCATGGAGTGTTTCCTGATCCATCACCCTGTCTCTTTCCCTTTCTGCTACTGCCCTGTGATTGCTACACTCTTAGTCCACTGAGGAAATGGGCTAGGGACCCAAACTCCAGTTCTCAGCGGTGGTCAGCACGATGTGAGATAGTCAGTAATGGACAGATGATGGTGTCTTCTTTGGTGTCAAGGACAGAGGGGATCAGCACTTCTCTGCAGATGCAGGTCAGGTTTGCAATGCACATGGCATGAGAGCATGTGGGCATGTGTGTGTCCGCGGAGATGGGGAGAGGGATGAGGGCCTAGTGGAGATAGGAGTGGAGGGCACCAGAAGCTGAGCTCCATCTCTAGCTGCCCCCGTTGGAGGGGGTAGATTGATAACAGCACTATTAACCCATATCTTAACTCAAGGGTAAGTGTGTTCTGTGTTCTAGTGTATTTGATTCTCAAAGCAACTCTACATTCTCAGACATCATGACTGTCAGATGGGGAGTTGGGGCTTAAAGAGGTAAATTGCCCTAAGAACAGCGAAATTCTAGGGTTCAAAGGAAAATGGCAAGCTCAGGCTCCATCTACCTGGGCATCATTCATGCTGAGAGTGGGAGTAACAGCCAGACTCCTCAGGATGTTCTCAGAGACCAGGCTCCAGGTTCCAGGAGCTGGTCACAGCAGGAGAGCCAGGGAGCTGTCCTGAGACAGAGCACTCAGAGACTGGACAAGCAGCGAAGGCTGGGATCATAGGATGACTGGCCAGGGGGTTCAAGGAACAGTGTGCTTCAAGAAGCAAAAAACATTGGCTTAGTTGGTAGAGTGCTTGCCTAGTATGCGGGAAGCTGAGTTCAGTTGTTAGCTCTACACAAACCAGGTATGGTGGCTCACAGCAAGAATCCCACCACTCAGGAAGTAGAGGCAGGAGGATCAAGAGTTCAAGGTCATCTTTGGCTACATAATAAGTTTGACACTCATTCTCAAAATGGAGAAGAGGAGGAGGAAGAAGAGGAGGAGAAGAAGGAATAGAAACAAGAAATGGGTTCCCTCTTTTTTCCTGGGTACCAACCACATGGCTCTTTCTGGAAGGTGGGACCCTGAAGGGAAGCTGTGCTGCTCCAGGTGAGATTGCTTGCTTACCTGCTCTTTTTTTTAACCTGTTGAGTCAGCTCTGTAAGTGTCTTTTTCTCCTGCACTTGATTTTGCCAGGCTAGGCATGACACGTGATGTAACAGACACTGGCATAACCCTCCGTGCTCCTGCTCTTTTAGACCCAGCCATGTCCCTCTTTCTATCAGTCAGCTTGAGCTATTTTTCATGCCACCACCCCTGTT